CTAGGATGGATATTTTGTGTGTATGTTGGAGTGGGTGCTTTTCTAAACTTGTTTAAAACATTTCTTAGTGAATGTGTTTGCTGTTTAATTTGAGATTGATGTTAAATTCCTTATAATGGTTACTTTGAGTGTCCTTAACACGTATGTACTAAATGAATAATACTGTAGTCATTCTCTAACAAACTCTCAATTGTGTATTGTCTCTATGTATACGTATTCTCCAGTGACCATGACTACACAAGTATAATTAGTAACATCAGGACTGTGGTTGAATAGCAAGATCAATTTTCAGTAAGGTAATAAATACCTCAGAATTTGTGGTTTAATTTTTATAGTATGGATAGAAATACAAGCCTAGGATGAAGAAGAGATTAGAGATAAAATAATTGTCTATATACTGGATTATTTAGTTACATGAATTTCTTTATTACAAAACTTGTTAGGGTCTTTGCTATTCACACACATTTTCATACTTTGGAATTGGAAGTAAAATAAACATACTTTAAAGTGGAACTCTTGCTCTTCAGATAGTTGCATAGAACATAGAAAGGCACTATTTGATTCAGTTAGTATTTTTGTGAATTATTGTGAAGCAAGTAAAATGATGAACTTTTACTAATAATTGCTGTCTAGTTTGTTAGAGAAAGTATTGTGTCTATCACCTGGATGCCTGACAGTTTGGAATGCATTTTAAGTCTTTCTAAAGATGAGACATACTAACTTGAGACATATATCCTTTCTACTGCCTCTTCTACAGTTTTTCTCTAAAGAAACTTATTAACATGCAGAGTATTTTAAACTGCTTGGTTATAAGATCTGATGATTTTCCCAAGCTCTGCCTTCCACATGGTCTCTTTGTCTGAGTTCCAAACAGATGTTGAATTTCTGACTGGACAGGTCTACTCACCAAATCTTAGTCCTCTGAATTTGGTCAAGAGTGTGTTCTACTTCTCCTCTTTCATTCCAATCTCAAATCCTGTTCTTCATTTGTTATGCTGGCTAACAGCGCTGTTGTCTCTGTATTTGCCCAAAATGGAGATCCAGGAAACTCGGGTTCCTCTTTCACGATTCACATCACAACATTGACATTTTAGGCTAGATAAGTCTTTGCTGTCCTCTATACATTGTAGGTGTTTAATAACATCCTGTCTGTTACCCGTTATGTAGTAGCAACAGCACACTTTCCCCTGACCCGGCTCCCCACAGTTTTTTTTTTTTTTTTTTTTTTTTTATTTATTTATTATATATGAATACACTGTAGCTGTCTTCAGACACACCAGAAGAGGGCATCAGATCTCATTACAGATGGTTGTGAGCCACCATGTGGTTGCTGGGATTTGAACTCAGGACCTCTGGAAGTGCAGTCAGTGCTCTTAACCACTGAGCCATCTCTCCAGCCCGCTCCCCACAGTTTTAAGACCTTAACCTAGAGTGTTAGGTGTTTTGTGCCTGATAGGCAAGCGTAAAGCTGTCAACTTTATCTTTTTTTTTTTTTTTTTTTTTTTGTTTTTCGAGACAGGGTTTCTCTGTATAACCCTGGCTGTCCTGGAACTCACTCTGTAGACCAGGCTGGCCTCGAACTCAGAAATCCGCCTGCCTCTGCCTCCTAAGTGCTGGGATTAAAGGCGTGTGTCACCACCGCCCGGCTCAACTTTATCTTTTTAAACTGCACAGTTATTTCTTATCTGATTTCAGTTGCTTCTTATGGAGACCCTCAAGAAGGCTTTTCTGTTTCTTCATTCCTATATCTTACTAAAATTCTTGTTTTATTTAAATTCAAGAAATATGTGTATATGTGTATGCACCATGTGTTTGTGTGTACCCTAGGGGACCAGAGGAGGGTGTCAAGAGCCCTGAACCTTGAATTAGAGGTAGTTATGATCTGCTGTGTGAGTGCTGGGAATTGAACCCTGTCTTCTGGAAGAACAGCCAGTACTCTTAACTACTAAGTAATCTTTCTAGCCCCTTTACTAAAGGTCTTGCTGAATACACAATGTACTGTGCCCCCTTCCCAATCTGCCCTGATTTGTATTAAACTTTCCCCAAGCATTCTTTCTCCACAAGAGGCCTCATTTTATTAGCATGTTTTATTTTTTAAAGCATCTGTGTCCCATCACCAAGCCAAAGCGTTCAAGGACAGAGATCCTGAGCTAAATCCTCAGCCTCTATCCCAGTTGTTAGCATGTAGTAGGTAGTTTTGAATCTTTTGCTCTTATGCTGTATCAGATGTTGTAGTGGTCTCATTAGTTCTGGAAATTCTCTTCTTTGTATTTCCCCAGCCTTCGTCATCCAGACCTTGATAGGTTGGTTCTTGACCACAGACATCTTAAATTCAACTTTAATTAAGGAGCCATTTATTCAGAACATTGAACAAAGCAGTATATTTGTCAGTTGTAAGCAACCAAAGATTCAGTCATATTGGCACATCTCCCTTTATATCCCTTCCTAATGTTGTGTGTGACTCAGTTTCTCTGTGAGTCGGAGCTGGCTATAATCTGATCAGCTATACTTTAACCTATAACTCTAATTAAAAGAAAAAGAAAATAGGGGCTGAGGAAGTTGTGAGGAGTAAATCCTGTTTTAAGGCCAGCTTCTGTGCAACTGAATGATTAAAGGTGGAATGAGAAAGACTTCACCATGCAGAATTCTTGATGCACTCACTGCCTTACCACACCAACATGTCTCTGTGAAGGGACTCCATCTAAGAGCAGTTATGCTTCCTTTTTAGGGTCTAGCACAAATGTATTACTCCTTAAAAAAAGAAAAAGAAAAAAGCTTTAATAAAGTGGGGACCAGGTTTTATTTCCAGATTAAAAAAAAATAATATAAAAAACTGGGAAAGAGGCAGATTTCCTGCAGGGACAGTGCCTTTCATGCGAGTGCCCTGTGTGCTGATGTGTCTAGCAGGCAGTATGGTGTCCCACCCATGAGGCTTGCTCTGAAAAGCCGTTTTCCCACAAAACCCATCTGCTGTCACCGTTTTATTTGCTGCTTTGTTTTGCTTTTCTTTCCCCTATACTCTGTTTCCCTGAAATTTTACTCTTTTAAATGTACTTTAAATTATTTAGAATAAAATTTGATTTATTTAGATTTAAACATTAAATATTCACCAGTTTAAAGCTTTACATTCTGAGCCAGGATTGGTAGCTTACTCACTGTAATCTAGCACTTAGAAAGCTAGGGCAGGACAATGTTGAGTTCAAAACTAGCCTGGGTTACAATAGCAAGACCTCTTCCTAGCCACCACCCCCCCAAAAAAAGTGTTAAGTTAAAATTTTTAGGATCTTGAGCTGCTTCAGAAAAGAAAGTTACGCAATGAAGTGAAAGAGATGAGATTTGTTTGAACTAAAGAAAAACAAATAGCAAACATAACCTGGTAAGTGTTGTTTCCAAAGCCTGTTTACTCAGAAGTTTGGACTATAGTGTTCCTGTTACTTGCAGGTTGTCTTGGGCCTACCTTTCCACCTTGTAATATTATTTTTGAATTTTGATTAGTTTTTGTTTTTCTACTTGTAACTCTGTTGTTTAGATACTACATGATTTAAGAAAGTGCTGTCTATGATTTTGAGTGGATCCTCTATATACTTTTCAGGAAAGGATAGTATATTGAATGGAACCTTTCAGTTATTACAGAATGATGTAGTGATAAGTGTGTAAAATGTTACAGCAGGACTTCTTTATCTTTATAGTCTATTCTATAGTATATCCTACTAGTCATAACATTCAGGATCTATAAAGGTTCTAGGAATAATTAATTAGCAAACAGTGAACTTTGCTCCTAGGGAATATTATATCATGTTCCTCTAAGTCTCTCATCACATTGTTATAAACCAGCCAGTACATAACATTGTTCCACGTACAGTTCTCCCATTTCATTTAATCTGTCTATTTAATTTATTTATAGACATGGTCTCTTTATGTTTGCAGCTCAGTTCAGACTTGAACTTAAGATCCCTGTCTCTGGTTCCTAAATACTGGGAGCACAACACCCAGTTGATGTGTGCTTTCCTTTATTATTATTGCTGTTTTAACACATGACCAATTGTAGTATGACTTATGCTTGAGTCAAGCTTATCTAATGCAGTTTTCTTCATAAGGCACATTAACTTTCCACCCATGAGTATAGAACACTTAGAAACACTTCAGCGTTATGCTGAGGGGCCATTTTAAGTAGTGAAAGCATCTATAATGGCACAGAAGTGCAAAAACCGTGGCACTAAACAGACCACTAAAAAGACAGCTGCTTGTAGTCTGAGCGCTGAAACAAGATGAGAGTATTGTCTTGTTCATCCTCAGGTGGAAACGTATATGCTAGGTGAGTCACATTTCCCACAGATCTGTGTATAAGGCAAAAACTTACAAAAAAATATCACAAGTACTTACTTGACTATTAATTTGGTTCTTTAATGCTTTGATAAAATAATAACCAAAAGCAAATTGGGGGAGGAAGTGGTTTATTTGTTTTAGAGCTTACAATCCATTATTGAGGAAAGCCTGGGCAGGAGCTGAAGCAGAACTTACAGATGACCATTGCTTACTGGCTTGCCTAGCTTGCTTTCTGATACAACCCAGAACCACCTGTTCAAAGGTGGCATGGCCAACATTGGGCTGGATAACCCCCACCCCCATGAATCATTAATTAGAAAATATTCCTCAGAGACTGCATCCAAAGGCCAATTTGATACATGCAATTCCTGAATTGAGGTTTCCTCTTCAGGTGACTCTAGTGTTGTCAAGTTGGCAAAAACCTGCAGAGTTACCGATGACTTTAGTGGGTAGCTGAATTCATGTGTACAGAATCTCTGAGTAGCAAGAATTGGGTGTAATTGTTTTAACGAAGTTTATATTTGGACTACTTAAGCTTCATACCGGAAAGAAAGATTCTTTTATTTATGGATATATTTAAGTTTCTCGTTAATGCAGTCACTTTTACAGTTTGTATGTCCTCTTGTCTAATAAAGTAAAACTGTTTTTAGTTATCATTTCCTTTCTTCCCTCAGGGAACAACCTATCTTCAGCACTCGAGCTCATGTCTTCCAGATTGACCCAAACACAAAGAAGAACTGGGTACCCACCAGCAAGCATGCAGTTACTGTATCTTACTTTTATGACAGCACAAGAAATGTGTATAGGATAATCAGTTTAGATGGCTCAAAGGTAAGCTGCATTTACTTCAGATAATCTCACTGCTTTGTAAAACGTAGAACTTCAGTTTCATTCATATTTTTATTTTCATTAAAATATTTCTTCTAGGCTTTTTGAAGCTTAACTTTAGGAAACAAAAAGTGATTATTCTTAGAGTAATAGCATTTTCCCCTCAAATTATTTGTAGAAACTAACTCCCTTATTATATTGAGCTATATGAGGAGACATATTCTTCAGCTTTATGATGGGTTAGTTTATTTAATAAACATTCCTTGTATCTCTGTTTTATATTGATGTTAAATGATAAGAATATTTCTGATAGTCACCACTTTATTATTAGAACAATACTAGTTATTAGAAAGGCATTTATTTAGCTTACAGTTTGAAGGCTAACAATCCAAAGGGTATAGCCCTAGCTTCCTGATGCTGCTTCTCTTGGTTGCAGCACTGTATGATATAGTAATGATGACCAACGTATGGGTTAGCAAGTAATTACATGTTGAGCTGGTGGAGCTGAATGAGGTCAGGCCTGCTCTCTTTATGACAGTCCATTCAGTAGAATTGAAGGAGTTGTTAAGACTCACCCTCCTAGAGCCCATGCCCAGTGGCCTGATTATCCACCTCTACACATCTTTGAATTGTCTATAATACCTCCTTCCAATCACAGCTTCCAGGGGCATGGGGCTGAGGATCTGGGTTTGGATCCCAACACCCACACAGAATCTAGCTCCAGGATCTCACACCCCTTTCTGACCTCTGCAGGCACCAAACACACATGTGGCAAAATACTCATAAACATTAAGTAAATAAATCCAAAACAACAGCAAAGATCCTTTAGGAGAACACACTTAAAGCATAACTAACCATAATGACTTCTGTATTCAAGTAGGCAATTCAGAATCCTTAAATCATGAAGGCTACCAACTTGAAAACTAAAGTAACACAAGTATAAGACAGAAATCTTAAAAGTTTTGCTTTTAGGAGAGGCATCAAGTACAGTTGGCTCCATCCTCAACTCCTCAATTCCTGTTACAGCTTTCATGGGAATGCTTTCCAGGTCATCCTTATTCTCACATCTGTGTAAGTAGTTGTAAGGATTTAGTAAGTATCAGCAGAACATACTTCATGCTTGGTGGACAGTATGCTGTTCAGAAGGGAGAAAATCTATTTTATTACCAGTGAATTTTATGTAACTAACTTATATTCCAAATATCAGATCCTGAGGTTTCCTTTCTTCAATCTTTCTTGGAGCTGTGAGATCTTTCTGACCTCTGTGAATTGAGTGCAGAAGTTAGGAACAGAGTAGAACCAAGCCACCTCATTGGAATTTGTGCTGCTTCCAGTTTGCTAGCCATGTGACCTTGCACAAGATATCTAACTTCTGTACATCTGCTTTTCACATGGGAAAAAAAGATTGTTATCCAGATAATTAGTCTTTCTTTTCACTTTTATATGAATGAATGAAAAGACTTAAGATTGTGATAGTTAATTTCTGTGAAGTGTTATTTAATGAAGAGTAACTGCTCATATGTTTGGTTTAGTGAAATACAAGTATTAAATATTATCTCAGGCTTTAGACTGCTAATTTATTTTCCCTCCTTGAACGTACAGTTTATGTAATCTATTGTATCCAAAGTACAAACATAATGTGCTCTTCTTAGATGGTATTTTAAAGGTGGAAATACAGGTCAACTGAAGCAGTCCATGTTTAGGAAGAGAATTTGCATTGAATTAAATGCATTTCAGTTTTTTCAAGTCTTTTTTACCTTTTTACATCCATTTCTATATTTTTTCATTGTGTTAGAAAGCCCAGAGAACCCTAAGAAGAAAACATTCATTTATTCTTTGTGTGTGTGTGGGTGCGTGTGCATATGTGCACGAGTGTTTGAACTGTACACATGAACACGTGAAGCTGTTGGGTTTTCTGTCTTTTTTTTCTCTTTCTTTTATGACAGGTTCTCACTACTTAGCTCCATCTGGCACTAAAATTTTTCTTTTAAAAAAGTTCTTAGTTATATCCTAATCAAAAAATGTAAGAAATAAAAATTTCAAGCATAAGATTATTTAACTTTTTATTCAGTGATTAATAATACAGAAATGAGGAAAGGTTCAGAGTTTAGATTAGAATGACTCACTTTAACAAATCACAAAAAAGTTATTTTGAAGTGGTTGAAATGAGCACCAGTATCCACCAGCACATTGATTAGTCCTTCTTGTTGCTATTAAATGTATTATCACCAGCCTTTTAGAGTCAGTGCGGTCTGATGCCAAATTTTCCTTTTCACCTTATTTAACACTTGGGTCCCTCCTCAAATGTTTCTTGGAGAACACTGAAGGGCCACAAAATGTATCCTGGTCTGTATTTGCTTGCTCTGTCAAGTCCTTTTAGGGACTTCACAACTATTAGCATGCTCTGACTTTCCTGTTAGCTCTTAGTTTACGTTGTCCCAACCAGCTCTGTGACCACATTGCCTCTCTTACTACTGTGTCTCAGGGTTCCAGAATTGTGTTTGGTAGCCAGTAGGTACTCAGAGAACATCAGAGACATCCTGACCCTTTGTTGTTTGTTTATAATCTTTTTTCTAGTTAGTCTTTTTAAATTTTTTTAAAGATTAATATATATATGAGAGAATGAATGTTTGCCTGCATGTATGTATATTTACCATGTGCATGCTTGGTGCCTGAAAAGGATAAAGGAGAGTATCAGATCCCTTGTAACTGGACTTACCATGTGAGTGCTAGGAATTAAACCCAGGGCCTCTGCAAGAGCAACAGATGCTTTAAACCACTTACCTACGTCTCCAGCCCCTAGTCTTATTTGATGACCGTTCCACAAGTCAAAATCTTTGTTAGCTATGCTTTATATACCCAAAATAGTATGCTGGTAGAAGCTGCTTTGAACCAAATGGTGAGGAAGATTTATAAATACATAAGTTTTGTACAAAGATAAAAGCTCTTGTATAGAAATAGATAACACATCCATTTCCTGTGAGGAAGGAGAGAGCCAGTTTTTGTTGTACCGTTGGGCCTCATTTTGGCCCTGGCTTGGGCCTTGAAAACAAACTCCAGCCAGGCTCGAGTTTTGAGACCTGTCTTAGTCACTTCTGTCCCAGAGTAACTCAACAGGACCTGTTTAGCCCTGCCTCTGCTCAGCTGTTGCTGATGTAGAGCTTTGCCATTGGCCCCGTCAGTCACCCCATACCCTCCATACCTCCGTCACCCTTCCCCACCCGCTTGTCATCTCACCCCTCCAAAACCCCTCATCCCTGTGCTCCAAGTTTATAGAAACGAGATTGTTTCATTAAAGTTGAGTTCCTGCTCGACCAGACTCCCAGCCCGGTGTGTTTCTTTGGGCCTGACACTCACCATCCCTCTCAGCCCCGGAGAGACCTCTCTCTCCTCTCGCCTGGACCTGCCGGCTGAAAGGAGCTGACATTGTACCATCTTCTTTTCTTTAGTAGGTCATATGGCTATATATGTCCTTGTTGAAAGTTCGTCAATACCTGATAGCTAATAAATATTTTATATTTGTGGTGTTTTTCACTTGATAAACAAATTTTTCATAAAATGCTGAAATGATATAAAATAGAAATGCTATGGCTACCAATCTGTTATTTTGAGAAAGGAAATGAAAATATTTTTTAGAAGTTTTCCTATAGTAAAAAACAAACAAAAAACAAAACAAAAAAAACCCTGCTAAGCGATTGTCTCTTTTTCTGTATGAAAATGTATTTTATGTAAATCATATTTTTGAAAAGATTCATTATATGTTTTAAAAATATCAAAATCACTTATATTCATTCATATATTATGCTACTTTATTTTTGATTTAGTTTTGTTTTATGTATGTAGGTGTTTTGTCTGCCTGCATGCCAATAATGCCACACTCATACCCATTGCCTTGAGAGCCCAATAAAAGGTACTAGATCCCCTGGAACTGGAGTTACAAATAGTTGTGAACTGCTATGTAGGTGCTACATATTGAACCCAGGACTTCTGGAAGAGTAACCAGTTCTTTTAACCACTGAAATATTTCTCCAGCCCCTTATACATTTATTTTTGAAAGATTCTGTTAATACTGAAGCCTGTTTGTTTCTAGAGAACAGCATCCAAAATTAATAAATAGTGATCCTAAACATTCAAAAGGAAGAAGCTGACCACATTCAAAACTGTTTGAAGGCTCACTTGCCTCATATATGCAAGGTCCTGGGTGTGATGGCCCAAAAAGGGTCAAAAACCAAGATAAAAGAAACTGCCAACATTTGTCTGTTACCAGTTTGTTAAAAAATGGTGGTTTTACAAGGTACATCTTTACGACCTTGGTTTCTAGCTTAGTCAGCAAGTTGCTTACATGTACAGATGAGAGGACCTGAGTTCTATCTCCACCACGCATGTGCTGGACTAGGTAGCATATTAGCAATCTTAGCATTGGGGAGGTGGGGACAGGTTGGCTGTCCAGCCAACTTAACCTATCAGCAAGCCCCAGGTCCAAGTGAGAGACCCTCTCTCAAAACCCAACCTCCACAGGCTAGACAACCTGCTCAACTGCTTATCTGAGGTGTCTAACCTCCACAAGCACATGCATGTATGAACACTCATACATACACCTTTGAAATCTTTTGGATCATTAAACATGTATCTATAGTTCTACTAGTCATACATTTCTACATTGCCACCACTCATTATCTTTATTTAACTTTGTAAGTTATAAGTGATCCTATTTTTGTGTAGCTGAAATGGTCTTATATTTAAATGCCTATTTGCTTCCTTTTTGGCTGACTACTTCTGTTTGTTTTCTTTTTCAGGCAATAATAAATAGCACCATCACTCCAAACATGACATTTACTAAAACATCTCAAAAGTTTGGCCAATGGGCTGATAGCCGGGCAAACACTGTTTATGGGCTGGGATTCTCCTCTGAGCATCATCTTTCAAAAGTAAGTTATTTCAGTAGATCTTCATGGAAGTCTTCATCTCTACTTTGTGTGTCCTAAATATAAATAGGAAGTGGAGAGCACAAAATAGAGGAGAAATTTGTTTAATATTCTGAGAAGTATAGTGACTTTAAAATAAGAATGTTAATATATTAAATGTTATATAAATAAATGTAAACAATACTAAACTTAAAAATATCTGTCTTTTGTAATTCTTCATGGAGACTTATTGTGCACTTTAAAACAGTCACTACTGGTTGAAAAGGGTTTCTTGTATTGAATTATCTGTGTGGAGGAAGTGAAAGGTAAGATCTCTGTTCAGAAGGGGTTTTGCTCAAAAAATAGTACCCTTCAGTTGGCGATGGTCTGCAAGATAAGTAGCCATCAAACTTCCAAATTTTTTATTAGAATTTAAACTTGACATAATAATAGATTTCAGGTGGATTTTGTTGTTGTTGTTGTTTGTTCCTTACTATGATAGTGATTTGCCTGAATGTCAAGTCTCAGAAATGTCTGCAGTACAGACTGAGATGCAGTCAGATCTAGAGGAAGTTCTTGAGTAATGCTGGTCAGATGAATCACAATCTAGATTTATTACGATGTAGATCATCACCAGTCTAAATACTGGAAGTAAAACAGTTGTCCTGGCTGTAAATAAAGCCATCTCACGCTTAAATCAGGAGCACCTTGAGTGCTTGTGGATATTACATGGAAAGGGTGGAAAGAGAGGACAAAGTACACAGGAAAGAGAAACAGTCACCAGGTGCTAGATGATTAAGATGGATATCCTCACTTTGTTCACTAGATTTTACACATAAGATACAAACTTCTGTGTTAGCTATTTTATTAAAGGGTCTGCCCTCACTTCCGATGCTTACATCAGGTTTGATATAAACAGGATCCGAAGATTAAATTATTCCAGCACAAGATAACAGACTCTTGTAGGTAGACACAGTTCACATTTACATTAAACTGTAAGCTTATTTATTGTAGAAATTTGTTCAGATCCAATAAATAATTTTAAATGGCTTCGACTTTTGTGAATATTGGCCTGATTTATAATTAGTTTAGAAGTTGAAATAATCTATTTTCATCTGTTTTAGTTGTAAACATTCATTTACATGGATGTTTTCAATATAAATTAAAGTTTAAAATTGAAACTTTGAAGCTATTTTAAATATTGTCTTTGTAATTGTTAAACCATTCTCTGTAAGATGCTTATAGTGTAAGTGTTGAATGATTTGACTGTGCTTAGCAAGTCTTACTTTCTGAATATGTTTTTGGGCTGTGGTGTAGGTATGTTAGATCAAAATTCCTCAGTATAGCAATGCAGATGAATATTTCCCTTCCAGAAATGATCTCCTTGAGAAGTTACATGTTTATTATAATATATTAGACACTACACATTTTATAGAACTTCCTGTGGGTTGTCTGCTAACAGAGAGAAATTATAAGTAGTTTCTACTACATGAATTTCATGTCTTATACAACAAAGAGCCAAAGTATAAGTTGGTTTCTGAAACAATCTTTTATGAAATGCTTCTTAGTTAGGCTTAAGTAAGTTTTGAAAATAAATTAGATCCTTCATTATATGTTTCCAAGTTGCTGGGTAGCTAGCAAATGTAGTTGAGGATTAGTGAGTTAAGACCTGTCAATCATACAGTCTCATCTTGCCTCCTGTTACTTGGGGTGTGTGTGTGTGTGTGTGTGTGTGTGTGTGTGTGTGTGTGTGGTGTCTGGGAATGGCTTTTATTTGTTTTCTCTTCAAGGTAGAATACACTTCTAGCCAATCGTTACTAGTTGTGACCCCTAGCATTTTTAGCTTTGATTGAATATTGAATAATAATGTGATTGCCAACTGCAGGTGCTTCAAGTTATGTGGAAAATTTGGATTTTGTATTTATTTTGTAGCCCTAACTACCTCTGAATATAATGATAAAATAGCTTCCATACCCAAACATAAATAGGTCCTGTGTGTGACAGTGGTGTTCCTATGGATTTCTAAGAATTAGTGTTTCATGTATAATTTTTTTTTATCTCAACAACGTTTTATATTATTCTTTTTCTTATTTAAACTTTACGTTACTGCTTTCTGTTACTGAATTGGCTGTTTAGAAATCTTTGCTAGTTTTTTAGTTGTTGCTGGTAATAGTAAATGTAATGATCTATAATACAACTACGACAGTGTGAGCATTTACATTCTAGTAATAGTCAAGAACTTCTTACTATTTTGATATATAAGTAGATAATTGAGTATATTTTCTTAGTAATTAAGAAAAAGCATAGCATATACCTGTCTAATGGTTCTACCACTCATGCAAGTCTTAATAAATTGTATCTTAATAACAAAAGAAGAACATAGATAAGCCGGCTTGCCAAATTCTAACTTCTTTATGTGGTGATGTTTTGAACAAGATTTATCACAGTGCTTATATACAATTTTTGGAGTTCTGGCTTCTTTTCCCATCTTTTCATACTACAAGCTTTATTTATTGGGAGGCTGTGCTGTTTATGTCAGTTCAAAAAAATGAAGGAAATATGGGGTCTGTGGCATACTGCTACTTGGTTAATGTGTATAGTCTATGTGTGTTCAGTTTGCAGAAAAGTTTCAGGAATTTAAAGAAGCTGCTCGGCTTGCAAAGGAAAAGTCGCAGGAGAAGATGGAACTGACCAGTACCCCTTCACAGGTGAGTGCCATGGTCTGCTTTTATGTATGAGCCTAGTTCATTTCAGACTGTCCCCTTTGTGCCAGAGTGAAATTTGGAAGCATAATGTCAAACTAAATTACCAAAGTAGATACAGAAGTACACTGCTTAATTAATCTCTACTGACAGAGAATATGTCAGTGTTTACAAGAATATTTTTTAAAAAATCAATATTAACCCAGATAACCTTTATATATCCAACAATAGAAGAGCAAAAGTACAAGATGGTCAACTTGTGGTTTTGTCCATATTCTTTTATGCAGGTAATAGTAAGACAAGTTGGCTTGGAAGGGCTCCTCAGGCCAGGAGAGGTTCAGACAAACAAACAAACAAACAAACAAACAATACATTCATGTCCTAGAAGATAGATGTGACACATCATGTAGAGCTCCTGGAAAAGCCTGAAGGGAGTAGTTAAGAGGCAGACAGATTGGAGGGAGTCTAGCTAGACTTTGAATTGGGATTTCATGGGGAAAGTGGAAGAGCAACAGTAGTTTTAAGATTGACAACTTCATTGGCTCTCCATTTCTGTTGAGGTAATGAAGACAAAGGAATATGTTTCTGTAGTACGAGGCCAGATAAAGAAATGTTTGATATTGGCATGGCTAATTTGACATCATAGGTGTGCTCCCCACTAGCCCCTTAGTTTCTCTTAAGAATTTGCTAGTTCTAGGGAAGATAGATTATTTAGTCAAAGCATTACAAACCATTGGATAATCGAGATGAGTATTTACATGCAGGCTTGACACCCTGAGTTCTCTCCCCAGAACTCACAAGGTGCAGGAGAGAACCAGCATCCTGGTCCTCTGTAGCCCACTGTCTGCTTTAGCTTGTGCATCCTCCGCATAACAATTAAAAAATCAAAACATTACAAAATATAAATCATTGTAAAATACAAGGCATATTTGTTCTTCCTGATCTTAAAATTTCTTGATCTCTATTTAATAAGCCTCACTAAGTATAAAGGATTCATTTTTATTTTCATTAGCAGAGTTCTGTGAAATGCTTTCCTCAAAGACTAAACCTTGACTGCAGATTGAAGCCAAGGCCCATTCTTCCATACTCATAGTAGTCTGGGGTAATACTGGGTGATCTTTGTTAAACTGTGTTGAATCTATTTGTTAAATGCTCTTCTACTCCCATGATTCCTTTAAGCATAAATCCATTTACAGTTATGTGCCAAAATGTGTTTTGAGTTCTGATTCTTAAGGTGAATGATTTTGTTGTTACCAAAAGATGCAACAAACAGCACATTCAGTAAGTGAATACACAAAAGTATCAATAAACTGAGTGGATAATAGATTACCATTGTATTTATTTACTGTTTCTCCAGTTATGACTTAATACTGTGTTTAATTAATTGTGAATGACTACAATTAGTAAGCTGATTTCTTCTGTATAATAGAAGGGAAGTCTTTAAATGTTCACTTTCATCAAACCAATATAGAAAAGGTAATCATACTTGAAAAAAATGCTGTGATATAAAAATAATAAAGAATATCTTAATTTGATCAGCATTTGAGATACATTCCTAATTTATCTTTTCAAATATTTGAAGTCTACTGACTTACTATGTAGGAGCCAGAGAGAAAAGTAGAAAAAGCAATTTCTTCTTTTTCTTTTCCCTATATTTTTGATGATGTAATGCTTCTGTTTTGTTTGGATGAAATAGTTTAAATGGAATAACTCATGATAGTAGATGATCAGAACCTTTGTTTATTTAGTTTTTTGTTTTTGTTCTTTGAGGAGGTAGACTAGTTCGGAGTATTTAAGTGTTGGGATGGGAACGTAGTATAGGCTTGAGATCGCTTGTGTACTGTTGGATGTCCACACTACAAGTCAAAACAGAACGAGATGGGAGCACAAGATGGCTCAGTGTAAAACCGTGGGCTGTGCAAGCCTAGTAGCCTAAAACTGACCCTTGGAACCTCAGGATGGAAGGAGAAACCCAGATCTTGACTCTAATACCTCACTCTGTGACCCTTCCCTTCCTCATTTCTTCCTTCCTTCCATCCCTCCCTTCTTCCTCCCCTCCCTCCTTCCTTACCTCCTTCCCTTCCTCCCTCCTCTCCCTCCCTTCCTCCCTCCTCTCCCTCCCTTCCTCCCTCCTCTCCCTCCTTTCCTCCCTCCTCTCCTTCCTTTCCTCCCTCCTCTCCCTCCCTTCTTCCTGCCAAACACCTCTTTTCCTTCTACTTCACAAATACACAACAAACAATAAATTAGATTAAAGCACAGAACAAAAGCGTACACATTTTCAAGTCAGACAGAATCAATTGTTTTCAGTGACTAGGGAAGAGCTTAACCCAAGAGTGCTTATACACCTGTAGCATGGGTATTCTGTCACTTACGCTATTGAATCAAAAGAGGCGAGTGTGCTAAGGACAATGGCAGCTCATGGTTAGTGGATGATATGTGCTCTAGATCCCGGCTTGAGTCTTTCACTGACCTCGATTAGCGTTATGAATTAGATAAGTAAGTGATGGTGTATAGGCGTCTGTACATGAAAAGTGGGAATAAGACCAACTTATCCTCAGTTATTGTGAGAATTCAATAAGGATTAGAAAATACCACATAGTAAACTTTTAATAAATATAGGCACCTGTTGATATTGATGTGGTTATAATGGTGGGGATAATAATTATAAAGTCTTTAAATTGTCTAGCACTGTTAGGAAAACAGAGATGACATATGTTTTAGGGTTTTTATTGCTTTGATAAAACCATGACCAAAAGCAACTTCAAGGAAAGGGTTTATTAGTTTTTCATAACTCAGGTCATAGACTATTGTGGGTAGCCAGAGCAGGAATCTGGAGGCAGGAACTGGAATAAATAAAAGCCATGAAGGAACTCTGCTTATTGGCTTGCTCCTTATGTCTTGTCCAACTTGCTTTCTTATATAACCCAGAACCTCCCTAAAGCTATCACTGCTCACAGTAGGTTAGGCCCTCCCACATCAGTTATTAGTCAAGAAAATGCCTCACACGCTTGCCTGTAGGCCAATCTGATGGAGGCAATTCCTTAATCCCCTCTTCTCAGATGACTAGCTTGTGTTAAGTGAACAAAAGCCAATCAGTACAACATGCTTCTGAATTCTCTTGAAGACTTAATAAAGCTCGCTGCAGGTTTTAATTTACTAGGCCTAAGATGAAGCCCAGCTATTACTAGCTCTGATTCCTTTTCCAGAGGTACTAATGCAATTGGCCTTATCTTATTAAGGAATGATATAAACAGACAAGTAATCCCACCTCTTTCAAGACCTGAAATGAAAGAGTTTGCCAGTTAGAGAACAGTTCGCCAGCTTCACTTGACCTGGCCCTAAGACTGCATAGATGGCTCTTAGGCTGTTGTAAAGTACAGATGATGATGTAAAGTACCTCTAACAGGGATAGGTTTTACAGCCCAGAAGTAGTGCTCAAGGTTTATGGGGAAAGGGTCAGGGAGAGACAAGCCTAATATAGGCAGTATGGGCGGAGCCTGGCTCAGCAGGTACCAAATATAGTCATAAACTACATTCCTCCCAGCAGTTGGAGAGAACAGCTGAGTATCTTTTCCCTTTGGAGAAAGGAGCTGTGCGTTAACTTTTCCTGGCGTCTCCAGTGTCTGTCTGTGTGCACAAGGGCCTTTTTGTCCTTTACAAATTATCTTTAGTTTTGAGGGGTGTTTTTTGTTTGTTTGTTTGTTTTGCTTTGTTTTGTTTTGTTCTTGTTTTTAAGAGTGAGTTTACTTTGGCTTGAAGTGCAAAGGAATATAATTCATTATGGTAGAGAAGCAGCTAGTCACATTGCATCTGAAGTCAAGAGGCAGAGAGAGATAAATTCAAGTTAAACTTGCAAAGATATTCAAATACCCTATTTTTCTCTGATACATGTATATATGATACTATGTAAAAATACATAGTGTACTATATATACTTATAGTGAGTTTTACTTTACTTTATAGCCATTTACTTTTCAGACATTTTAAAGCCTTTCATTTGGTTTTAATTAAAATAACTACCCTAGTTTTGTGTTCAAATTTCAACAATTTGCATAATACTTAATCCAGTTATTTATTATGTAAGTACATTTGGCATAAACAATCTTGAAGGCAAATACAGCTGACTCTTGTTAAGCATTTAATGCAGTTAACTGAGTAAAACAGTGAAAAATATACAAGGAGAATGAAGGTTAACTTCAGTCAGTCAGTACATCGCATGTCCTGAACTTGGGGCTGGAGAGATGGCTCAGCAGTTAAGAGTACTTCATTGTTCTTACACAAGACCTGAGTTCAGTTTCCAGTACCCATGGCAGGGAACATGCAGTACCATGTAACTTCAGCTCTAGGAGATCCAAGACACTCTTCTGGCCTCTGTGGGCACATAGATACACATACACATACATACACATACAAACACACACACCACCCCTACACATAAATTAGGAAATAAAGCCTTTTTAAAAAAAATAGTATGGGTTAGTTCATACTCTGATATGTTCCTAAATGTTTACTGTTTTCCTAATCCTTACTATTGACATAATTAAAAGTTTAAATTAATTAATTAAATTAATTTAATTAAAGTTAATTTTTTAATTAATTTAAATTAATCTGCTAGATTTTACATTTATAACTCTGTCAAAAACTTCAGTGATAAGTCTGTTAATTTCAGAATTCAAGTAAAGGTGCCTCTTGTCAGACAGGAATAGAGGGAACCTACAGCCTTGCTACATGCTGCCCATGCACTATGCCTGTGTAAGATCTGTCACAGTTGTCAGGAAATGGGATTTCAGAGATGCTGGTTCTGAATGGTGACAAAATATAGGAAATAATTTATAAGAGTATATGACAGGGTTGCCTGAAATCTCAATTTCATCTTCTTTATGTATCAAACTCATAAAGTTTCTCCCTCAGATTTTCCTGTCAAGTTTGTATACAGAAAAGAGAGATATTGACAGCTTTATTGCAATATGAAAGAATGAAGTGGAATAAGTCCTCTGTGAATGTTAAGTAATCAAGCAACTGCTTTAGCTTAGCTAAAAAGGATGAAACTAAAGAAATTTCATTTCCCGCTTTCTTAGAATTTGTGCAGGGCCTAGTGAGGAGGGTGGGGCTGCCCGCGCTCCGCCCTGCCTGGGTCATACACTGTGCTGCTCAGGCTGGCCTTAAGCACACTGTCCCCTGCCTCAGCCTCTGGGGTGCTGGGATTCCCTGCAGTCACCACCTTTATTCTGTTTAGTTACCTTTGTTAACCCAAATAGTTTCAGGGTTTTGAAATTGTATTTCTAAATTGTTATCTTTATAATTTATTGTATTTTGATTAATTTTCTTATGAATTGATTTCCTGCCAAAATAATTGTCTTTTTTAAACTTAATTAAAATTTCAACTACCATTTGATTCGTCACAAATAGTTCATTTAGATGAAATTGTGTGCTTGAACAAAAGTGTAACACTTTAAAACACACTCTTAGTCTTTTTTTCTCTCTCTCTTTAAAGGAATCAGCAGGAGGAGATCTTCAGTCTCCTTTGACACCAGAAAGTATCAATGGGACAGACGATGAGAGAACACCTGATGTGACACAGAACTCAGAGCCAAGGGCTGAGCCAACTCAGAATGCTTTGCCATTTTCACATAGGTACACATTCAATTCAGCAATCATGATTAAATAAGATGAATAAATATGGAATTCATTTGTTTTTTTAAACTCTTAAAGTTACAACCTTAGAGTGAAAAATCTCAGGTCAGACGTCTTTAATTAATTTATTGTTTTTGGTTGCTCAGATTGACTGAGTATATTTCCATTATCTATGTAGAGAAAGCATTGAGCTAATTACAGGAGAAATGTTTTCAATGAACAAAACATAATTCTTTTCTATCTGTATTTTAAAGATTCATTTTGTTAACCAGTTTTCTGTTTTTATATATGATATATAAGATTTATAACTTATAATTAGAAACAATTGAATTCCTACTCTAAAGGAAAGCTTTACCAGAGGCCTACATGAGATGTCACAGAAGACAGGGATACCAGGCATATGCCTGTTAACATTAATGCCAGATTTCTTTTCATATGCCAACAGGGGAAAGCTTGACTTCCTGCTGATTCTTAAAAGAATCCTGTATTCTAAAAGATACATCATGTTCTAAATGCATTTTAAACTAGTAACATTAGTTATTGGCCATACTGTGGTATTAGTAGACTGTAAAGATGAATGTGAAATGGCACTATTGAAAGTTTTTTTTTTTTAAAAAAAAAGCCCATCTACCTTAACACTAATTTTTACCCTTTTTAAAATGCTTTTTATGAAATAGTCTTAGGTAAAAATTAAGAAAATAGGTTGGTGTTTTGTTTTTTTGTTTTTTGTTTTCCTACACATTTCTTGGAAGGACCAACTTTAGAAAATTACATTTGACAAATAAAAAAATTACAAAGTTAGATATTTCAAACTCTCTTAAGTGAGTTTTTATTGCGACTGAACTGCATTAATAGGGGCATAGGATTAAACATACTAGACCAGCACCAAGGGATCTCCTTACTGGGCTGCGGGACAAGGAAATTAGGGATGATTCTTAAGAGTAAATGGGGATTTTTTAATGTAAGGACACTCTTCTGCTAATGCTAATAATTCTACATAAGATGGTAGACATTTTGAAGAAAGTTGTTCATGATTTTAATGACTGCAGTGTAAGTGCTTTCTTTCTCTAGCTATAAAGGTAGCTGGACACAGGAAAACCTTTATTCCCTCAATCCGACTCCCATACAGTCATAGTCATTTAGTGAGCGTAGTTTTTTAACAAAAGACTGCAGTTCTTTGATACCATTACAAAATTTACATTATTTAATTATAAAGAATGTTATTGTAGGATAAAATTTTAAAATATTTTAACTATAATAAGGACAGGAAAAATTTCCTGTTTATTAAATAGTAGTTTACATTTTCATTTAAAAGACTGAACTGTACTGAATGTTCATTATATACTTGGTTTAACACCTAAATTGAGCCATCTACACTGAATACAATGAAATTTAGGAATAAGAACTTTTAAATTTAACATTTGAAGAAGCTATTTCTAGTTTATACACCTAAATTTTTCTAAACGTTTACTATTTTGCTAATCCCATTGTATTTGTATTGCTTCCTTAGAATTGGTCCTCATCCTGATTTTCCTCTGTTCTTGAGTGTCTGATAAGAATCACTTTTATCTTAAGTAAAGATACTGCTTCTGTGACTTGTTATGGAGGATTTGACAGTATTCTAATAGAAAACCTAGATTAATTTAACCTTATAAGTATGGTAAAAGCATTTTATAATTATATAGTTTTTCTTATTATTTTAAGGATTTCCAGCTATAGTATTTTATGAAAATATTCCTCTGAATTTGATGTTTTATGATTGTGTATTCATTTACTTGACTGAAACAAAGATTTCCATATGAGGTAGATTATTTACAGCTACTGCAAAAATCTCTGATTATCAAGGTAGAAGATCTCAGAGATGGTGTTATTCAAGATTTCCTAAACTATGGTAGTTTCAAATAGGTTTTTCATGGCTCCTGAAAAAGAAGAGAGTAAAGTTCACTGTAGTGGGTGTTTCAGTGTTAAGCATTTATATGTGTATGCTGAATTATAATGTAAAGCACCATAGTATGAAAGCTCATGCCTTTGGCTTATTATGAGAAAACTAAATCTTTAAATTTAGTTTATGGGTCCTAGGTCCAGTTGCTCAATAGTAACTACTTTAATTTGACAGCTCAGTTATTCTGACCTTGCCCTAATGTATGTATGTATGTATGTATGTATTGTGTATATACATATATACATATCATAATACATATGTTATATATACAGTATATATATACACACACATATATAGTATATATGTGTGTGTATATATATATATATTCAGTTAGTTAATAGTACATTTAAGCCAAATATCTAACATAGGTACACTATGTAAGTATCTATCTGAAAAGACCTATATAGAATTGAGATCAGCATTTCATGAGTTAGAAACAGAAAGAACATTATAATTAATATTTCTTAAGTCTAAAGTACTCATATATTTAAATTGGATATACTATTTTTCCCTCTTGGCAAAGGAAGACAAAAATCTTGAGTTTAGAGATTACCTAGATTATCACTTTGCCTTTCCTTCCTGAGTACTTGTTTTTTGCTTTTTTTTTTAAAGATTTATTTATTTATTTTATGTATATGAGTTCACTGTAGCTGTCTTCAGACACACCAGAAGAGGGCATCGGATCCCATTACAGATGGTTGTGAGCCACCATGTGGTTGCTGGGAATTGAACTCAGGACCTTTGGAAGAGCAGTCAGTGCTCTTAACCGCTGAACCATTTCTCCAGCCCCTGAGTACTTGTTTTAACAAAAAAAGACTAGTTTAAGAAAAGGGTTTTGCTAGTATGTTCCTGCATTTGTTCAGTCTCATTTTACTGCTAAATGGAAAGCAAAATCACTAGAATATCCGTTTTAAAAGAAAACCAGGACAGTTATGATGGCCATACCCAGGGTACATAGTGAAAACAACAAAAGCCAAACAAAAAGTGCAAAGGTAGCAATCCAGTCAGTCATGCTACCGGAAATGGTAGCCGCTTGTGCTTTTCTTAAGAGTCATATTTTATCCTATGTCTGGAATCGGCAATTAGTAAAGGAACTGTGACTTTTATTTAGGCTTGACAATTTTAGTAATATGACTATAGTCTATTCTGTAACTGTAAGCTTTATTTTAAAATTATGTTGATTTAGGAATACAAGAAAGTTTTATTTTTAATTATAATTTCATTATAAGATTTTCAGATATGCACAGACAGACTACAATAATAGACTCCCATGGAAATACCACTTCGGCCTTAACAGTCTGGAAAAAAGCATGGCCAGTATTACTTTATCACTACACTCACCTTGTTCTCTGCTAATGTGTTATGACTGCAGTGCTGAGACTCAACTGCAGAGCTGTACACGATAGGTAGGCCCTGCACCAAGTGAGCCACACTCCCAGACTTACCATTTTATTATTTTAATTTTATATTTTATGTGTATGGGTGTTTTGCATACAGGCATGTCTATGCCTGGTACCCACAGAAACAAGAAGAGGGTGTCAGATTCTTTAAAACAAGTAACAGATGGTTGTGAGCCACCATGTGGGTGCTGGGAACTGAAGCTGGGTCTTCCACAGGAGCAACTAGTGCGTGTAACTACTGAGCCAACTCTCCACTCTACATTGTTTTATTTTTAAAGCAAATCCTAGATACATAATTTCATCCACAATAATTTCTTAAAATTATCTTGAACTCTTAAGTATATATTAAGCTATTACAGTTTTTATTTCTCCTAATTCAGTGGTATAATTCCTTACCTTGAATCGTTTACTACTTTCTTTGGTTCCTGAAAACTATACTGCTAAATTAAAATGTAAACATATGGGCTCATAGATACTTTAAGTGCTATAGTACTGTTTTATGTCCTTGTCAAACTATGCAATAATAGTCTAATCAGATTGGTTTCAAGGAGTGCTCACTCTTTGGTGTGCTCCTTTGAATGCTCTCAGAAGCTTGGGATGTGCAGAACAGGAAGACTGTGAGTGTAGATGCCTACTAATTTCTTTAAATCTTTTAATTGTTTTTTTTTCTTTAAAATTATTTTTAACTTAAATCATAATTACCTTTTGAGGTTGAACAGAAACTCATTGACAAACTGAAGTGACTTTTTAGGGTGTTCTTTGAAACCATAGTCTTATATCTGGGGACTAAAATGTCATTACGCCCTAATAGACTAACTTGTATGTTTGTGTGGGAAAATGTTTTCCTCTCTCACTCAAGGTAATTGCTTCCAGGTGTCATTTGTGTAGAATTCTAGAAAGTGGTTAGATTTTTTAAAATAAGATTTAAGACAACCATTATTCTCTTAGAAGTAGTTAGTTTTATATTATTGTAGTACTGTTGGAATGTGATCCTGAAATATATTAATGAAAACTGAAATTTCTATTTTGTTAATTACAACCCTGACTCTCAGAGATGCAGTATAATACTGATTCGTAGCTGCTGTCATCTTTCTGAGAGTTCAGAACACAGGGCAGCAGTTTGTGAAGCCATTTTTTACTGACAAATTTTGATAAGTTTGGTTACTGTAATGGAAAGTAGGCTCTCAAGCACTGACTACATTTGGATTCTTGTAGTGTTTGGATAGTATGCTCTCACGGTGCTGCTGGACTTGATGCGTTTTAGAGGTGCTGCATGTATCTCCACTCTGTTGGAGAATTTCTGCGTCTTGTGTGTTTGCAACAACTCATTAAAAGGCGTATGCAGAACTATCTTGTAGTATATTGATTTTTGCTGTATAACAGTATAATAATAAACACTTGAGTGATTCACTCCATTTATATTTATTATTCTAAGCTTCAGAAAGGCACTAACTTGAAATTATATCTAGAGGTTTTGTACAACTTCAAAAATTAAATTTTCTTGGATACTTTAGGCAATATTTTAACCACTTTTTAAAAAAATGTAAATGTTTATATTTAAGTAAGCTAGAGTACACCAAAATGTACTTTTATAAATTAAATAGTTTGTACTAATTTGCAGATACTACAAATAATAAAAAAAAGTGAATGGTGTTAAA